CTTAATCAGTTGCAGGACTCTGGTTGTGACCAAAATTGGTTGTGAGACAAGTTAAATTTCCCTATAAGGTTCAGTGTAAATAAGGTTCTGTAACTAATTATTTTTAGTCAGAAAAATGTAAAGCAAAGTGACAAAGAACATCTAAGATTGCGGTTGTCTCCCACCCCCCACCTTGAGTACGAGCGTGGCCATCTCCCCACCCCCACCCCCAGCACGACCGTGATCGTGCCCCTCATCCCTGTACCCGCCCCTTATCCTGGCGTGCTGGGGTGGGGGGAGAGACAGGCATGAACGAGGTGTGCTGGGGGGAGAGATGGGTGCGAATGCAGGTGCTCTCGGGCGGGATGGGTGCGATCGTGCTGGGGGGGTAGATGGCTGAGATCGCAGTTGCACTCGTGCAGGAAAGATGGGCACAATCACAGGCATGCCCATGCAGGAAAGATGGGCGCGATCTCGGCCATCTTCCCCCCACCCCCAGCACGATCGCGGCCATCTCCCCACCCCCCCAAGTGGGGAGATGGCCGCGATTGTGGTTGCCACTCAATGCAGAGTTAATGACCTGAGTCAAAATTTTTATGAAATTTTTGTTCACAACCCGATTTTGTTGTGAACTGACGCATTTGTGAGCCAAGGTACCACTGTATTTGTTCTGGAATTCTTAACTCAAATAAGGTATTGCTGATCTTCTAATAAAGTGTAACGTGACCCTTAGATCAGACCCTGTACCACAGGGCTAGAGAATTTTCAGTGTAGCACCAAATTTTTAAAAAGGATCCCAGGAAAGCAAGGATCTGGGAAAGTACAGGTCAATTAGGTTAACATCTGTTTTAGTTAATAAGTTGAAAATCTGTTGAATGTCAAATTGGAAAGCATGTAGAAGGACAAGAATCAACATGGCATCCACAAAGGTTAGTCTTTTAGAGTTCTTTGAGAGCGTCAATAAACATGTGGACAGGGATAATCCAGTAGATATAGCAGTCATGGCATAAGAACACAGATCCTTTTGCAGATCAGTATCTGGTTAAAGAACAGAAAGCAGAGAGTAGGAATACATGATAAACTTTCCTAGTGGAGGGATGTAAATAGTGGGGTCCCAGAGGGTTCTGTATTGGAACCAGTACTTTATTTGCCTTATTCATATGTACTCGTATGTACTTATTCATACATATATCAGTGAAGAGTGAAGTGGCAAAGTTTGCAGATGACACCAAATTATATAGAGTAGTTAAAACAGAAAGACAATTGTTAGGAACTCCAAAAGGTTCTCTCCCAACTGTGAAAACAGGCATCAAAATGGAAAGCGAAGTTCATTCAAGAATAAGGTAAAGAAGGATGGGGCAAAACTCCCTAACTTCACATTGAAGTTAGTGGGTTCTCAGCTTGCAGTGATTGACCTCAAAAAATATCTTGGGGTCATGGCGTTGAAAATGTTAACACAGTGTGCAGCTGCTGTGAAGAAGGCAAACACTGTGTTTGGCATAGGAATTGAAAATAAAACTACCATGATCATGCTGCCCTTAACAAATCAATCAATCAGTACAACTTTATCATGGTCAAAGACCAGACCAAAGTAAAACATTAAAAGACAATACAGAAATATTGGGGAAGTGTTGGTAAATATTAGCCATTGGTTATAAGGTGTACATAGAAGTGCTAATAACTTATAATTCCCCAGAGTCTTTTCTAAATTGCATGCCATATACAGTGGTACCTTGGCTCATGAACGCCTCAGTTCACAACCAAATCAGGTCACGAACGGAAATTTCTGAAAATGTTTGCCTCAGGTCGTGAATTCCACATTGGGTGATGATCGCAATCGCGCCCGTCTCCCACCCCCCGAGCACATCCGCGATCACGCCCATCTCCCTGCCAGCACGCCTGTGAGCACATCTGTCTCCCCCACGAGCATGCCCATCTCTCCCTCCCCGAGCACATCCACAATCATGCCCGTCTATGGTCGCAATCACAGTAGCACCCCTGCAGGGATTACAGGCACGATCCTGGTCGTGCTGGTGGAGGGGAGATGGTGGCGCTCGGGGTGGGTGTGGGGAGATGGCTGCAATCTTTCTTGTTCTTTGCTTCAAATTTTTGTGATTAAAAAAATAGTTACAGAATGGATTAACCCTATTTACATTGAACCTTATAGGGAAATTTGACTTGGCTCACAACCAATTTGGGTCACGACCAGAGTTCTGGAACAGATTAAGTTCGTGAGCCAAGGTACCACCATACAGTACCTCCATTCCAAGTGATAAACACTTCAACACAATAAACCATTTTAATGCTAGTATTAGACCAGTATGAATAACAGCCATACTGGATGAATGGTATTACCCTTATAGAAATCTATGATGTGACCACACTTGGAATACTGCAAACGGTTCTGGTCAATGCACCTAAAATAGGATACTGCACGAAGTTGAGAAAAGGGCAACTAAAATGTTCTAGAAGCTGGAGCAACTCCTTAATGAAGAAAGGTTACAACAGCTGGGATTCTTTAATTTAGGAAAAAGCGAAGAGATGGTGTGTACACAATTATGCATGATGTGGAGAAAGCAGATAGGGAGATATTTTTCTTCCTCTAGAACCTGGGGATATTCCATGAAGCTGATGCAGGACAGATAGAAGGAAGTATTTCTTCAAACTCTGCAGACTTAAACTATGGAATTCACTTCCAAAAAATGTAACACCAACCACCTATTTGGATGGCTTTAAAAGGGTGCTGGACACATTTGTGGACTCCAAGACTCCTTGGCTACTAGTCTTGATAGCTATATGCTACCTCCAGGGTCGGAGGACTTATGCCTAGGGACAAAAGTCGATAGGCAACATGGGTAGGAGGATGCTCATATATCCATGTCCTGGTTGTGGGTTTTCTGTGGCCAGCAGGTTGGCCCCTGTCTGAGCAGAATGCTAGATGGCTCCCTCATCAGATCTAGCATGTCTCTTATGTTCTTGCATCTCTATTTATGTGCCTGAACTGTGAAGTAAAAGCTGATCTTTTTCAGGTAGATGCGAATGAATATAAACTTTGGTCTTACAATATATTTCATTATTTTCAGAAATGAGTTACCTGTTCATAAATTAATTCTCTATTTCAGTTAGATTTAAAACAAGCCATTTGGCCTTTTTCCAAGGACTATTGCATATTTGCTTTTTATGTTCATGTAGTTCTGCATTTCCTACTGTATTATGTAGAAAGAACAATACTTGGTGATTCTAACCACTGTTTTGAGGATTGCTGATTTTCTGTACCTTATGCTATAAAAGAAATTCAGCAGTGATTTCAATGCCTGAATCTGTGCGTCAACTTTATGTGACTTCTTTACAAATATTGAGTATTCTTGAAATATCTAGCTTAAAGATTGTTTTCAAGAAAAGATGCTATTCAATAACATACTGCTTCAGTTGAATATCCTCCCATACACACCACCTCCTTTTTGGGAATATATTTATTTCTCCTTCTATTCCATGTACTACATTTGTATAAGATGAATACATGCTTACTGCTTTTCTTTCAAAGTGACAGGCATGAAGCAAGTGTTGAACATTATAGCTAAAATAACATCTATACATCATTTGATGTATGAAAGAAAAATTGTGCTAATTCTGCCTATGAAATTAGCATATGAGACAGTATCCAGAGGGATAACCATATTCACTGTTTAAAGAACAATGAATATTGTAGCATCTTAATGTATTTATTAATGTATTGTTGTTTAAACAACAACAATATTGTAGCATATTAATGTATTTATTATTATGTATATTTGAATTTGAGTCCAATAAACCTTTCTTTTTTACTTCCCTTTTTGACTTATTAGATTAGAGCATAACAAACAGGCTGTCATTAAAATGTCGTTTCCTAATCACTTTATGTTAAATCTGAAGAGATCTTAGAATGTCAGTTTTTAAAAAGCTTCATCAAGGCAAGATCAAACCATGATGCAATTATTAGGAAAATTCCTTCCATCATGCCAGAACTCTTAATTCATGGTTTTTTTCCTCTTCTTGGTTTTCATTCACTCCTTTGCCATGGTATCTCAATTGGTGATTTTCAAGCCCAGTTCAAACCATGGTTTCACAGAATTATTTAGAAGAAACTGCAAACCATACTGACAGTTTCACATCATGAAAAATGATGCTTAGAAAAACAGAGGAAGGAATTAGAAGGCAGAAGAGAATGGGGTAGGATTGCAGTTGCCAATCCATAATTGAGCTTTATGCCTTGACTGAGCCATGCTGAAATAACCTACTTTTAAGATTTCTTCCAGATTTAACTGACCAAGAAGGAGAGAAAAGCCTCCGCATGGGATAAGGACAGTAGCCAGCTAAGCAAATGACATTATGCTTGTAGAAACTAGGTACCAGAGCAGAATTCTGACTAAGGTTACATTTATATAATCGATTGTTTAAAATGCTATGCATAATGCTTGTGCAACAACAGACTGCCTATTAGGTTTGTGTAGCTTTTTCTGCAGCCAGTTGCACAAGCATAATGCCCAACTGCTTATGCAGGATTTCACAGAGCTCTGGTAGCTCTGTTAAAGTTTGTGGAATGATCCTGCTGGATATTGCCCTATGTACATCAGTTAAGTAACATTATTTGACTTGCTAGGATGTGTTTATGGTTAAGTGTCTGCTTTCACACCACCAAAAAAAGAATAAAATAGTTCTAGAAACTGGCATTCTGGAATACTTTGAGACATAGTAAGTGAAGCTGGAACAATCTTGTTTCATAGATAAAAATATTTAAACTCTAAAATGACTTATAAACAGATAGAAAATTATTTGTTCATCTAAATGCAAGCTTTTAATATTTTTGCAGAGTTGGGGAAGAGTTACCTCACAAATCTTTTAAGTCACAGCAATTCTAAAACTAAAATGTTTTGAAATTTCACAAATGATAGAGACTCTTTAGCTACTTTACAGGGGAGTACAAATTTTTTAAAGAACGCTGTACTCCTCCTCTTCACTAACGTGAACCTTTTCAAATTCAGGTAACAAGCATGTTCATGGAAATGACTTATCAGCGTCTACAGGTACCTATAATTTCTGATTGCCTAAATTCCCTTGTTGTAGTTAATGTCCTAAATATGGGAGGTTGGCAACATTATTATTACTTTTATTTTGTGGTTTGCTGAGTCATTCCTTGCATTCAAGAGTCAGTAACCTTTCCAAGAGCTTGAGAGGAGAGATTTGGATTTATATGTTATCTAATTTCCTGAAGACACCACAATGATATCATGCCTGGTACTTGTTGGTGTGATTATCCTTGCAGTGCGTGTAAATTTATTTGGATATATCTTAGACTTTTTGAACATTCTTTTCAAGTTAAATTATATTAAATGTATTCAACCCCCATGAACAGAACCTTTATATGAATATATTTTTGGTGCAGTTCAAGAGTGTTTGTCAGAGTTAAGTAATACCTACCTTTCAAGTATTTCCTATGAAATAGTTGAAAGAAATCTGAAATAACAGTTTTAAAAAATTAGAATGTAACACAAGGTGGAACTATATTCTTGAAAGAATACAGAATTGGCACAAAAATGGTGTCCATTTGTTTATCCTGCCCTTCTGCCCGACTAGTGCTGTATTACATCATAGGACATTGGTGAGAAAACATGTATCATAATGATGTTGGAATGCAAGATAAATTTAATTGAATATTACAAAGAGAATTGGGTGAGATGGTCAAAGTATCTTCCATTTAGTCCCATTCTTATTCTTGAAAATAAATAATACAGGATCTTACAAGATAAAACCATGAGACCTGGAATTTTTCTTTCCCCTAGTTATAGCCAGTCACATTCATATTAGTACATTTTAGTAGAAGTGTTAAGCTTCTCAACTCTTTTCACTTGTTACCTTGTTCATAGAAAACATTTGTATCTTCTAATGTTTATTAGTTTCTTTCATCTGATGCAGAAGATGGAGGAATTTAACTGAAAATCAAGAGGCGTCATGTGTTAGCTACCATGGCACAGGAGATAACTTGCAAATTCCAAAATTGTTCTCCTACAGAACAATTCTCCTAATATATAAAGTTGTTCTGTATGCTGCAATATTTGAAAGTCCTCTTCTAATATCAAGCTCCAAAACTTTTGCTTATTTAGTAATCCTTTCAAATGAGGAAGGAATGCTATCAATTATATTTCTATCCTGGATTGAAGATATTTGCTTTGTGTGAATTGCCTCTAGCAATATTTTCTTAAAACATTGGTTTAAAAGTATGTCATCCATCATTTTGAAAGAGAAAATTATTTACTAGGTTATTTTCTTAGTTTTTCCTAAGCTTTCAGTTTTTTAATATCAGTCTAAGACAATGTTTCCCCATGATTTCTCCTGGATTTTCCCCAGGCCTTCGTACACACCATTTCAAAACAGGATAAGGGTGCTTTGCTCCTTGTTTTGAGCATGTTCATTGTTATGTATTGCGTGGAAACCTAATTTGGGAGCTTTTAACAGCAGAGTCCTATGCATGTCTGCACAAATACCAGTCCTACAACTCTCAGCATCTTCCGGCCATCATGGCAAGACTTTTTTTCTTTCTAAGCAGGGATAGGATTACACCCTAAATTACTACAAATCTAATAAATATATCAGGAAATAGATGGTACAGGTTGAATCAGCTTTATGATGACAACTAAATAGCAGGTCAGAAACCTGGTATGAAAATTCTGTATGTAATCCTTTAATGGTTTTACTTTGCTAACGAAAACCTGTATGCATTACTTTGCGCATGATAGCAGGACAACTATTAGCAGTAATTCTTAAAGCGACCAAAAGAGTTTGTAGAAATGCCAATTTCTGGAATATGACAGGTCAGCAGAGTTTTCAGAGCCTAGTTTCTGACCTTGCTTACAGTGATGCCAAGTCTCCACTGCTGTATGCCCTACTGGTGCAGTGCGGTGCAGTGCGACAGCAGTATTCGATAATGCCCAGAGGTTGTATTTATTTGGTTTGGAAATCACCTGTAAACCTACATGTTGGATTTCAGTGTGTTGAAATCTCTCTCATTACACATCCTTTTACTGCCATTTTGGATAGCTTTTTAATCATATTAAAATAATTTCGTTTATTCACATGAAAATGTCAAAAATTGACAGAATAGAAATTAATAATTTCGAATCACACTGTTAAGAGGTCGTGTATCCTAGTGTTTTAAAAGCAGCAGTGCTTTAGTACTGTTGAATTACAGAAGCTGAAATCCAAAGAACTTTGGTGGTGTGCGTTTATGTAGTGGTTTGTCTTACATTGCTTGTCTAATACTAAATGCTGAAGTCCACACACAATATGACAGAATAGGGAAAGGAGGCAAACGGTAGTATAATCTGAATTTGTGAAATGCTTTTTTCATTCATTATTTTAGTTTAAGGTTGTATACTTCGAATATGTTTAGAAGATTAATCTCCCAAATCTTTAAGTACATTTTCCATTGTTACCAAGTTGTCAAAACATGAATTTTCCCATGTTTGCCAAGTTGGCAAACATACTTTGCTAGCATTCCAGGTTTACTTACAAATGTTGCTTCTCAGGGCAGTTGGATGCACATCTCTTATTGTTTGCAATAGATTGTCTTCATTGTAGCCAGAAACATGTAGCCTTTTACTGTTCCTAACTCCCTTGTATAAATACTGGGGAAACACTCTTTGCAAGTTCAGGGAGGAGAATTGGAGTTAATTATGTCATAACATCTCATTGTATTTTTGCACCTGATTGAAAAATAATGGTGGCTTCTAGCTAGGGAATTGTCTGTAGTGATAGCACTAAATGTGAGGCTGAAGTTCCTCGGCCTGATTCTCCTGTTGGACTAGTGCAGGGATTCCCAGCCTTTTGAACCCAGGAGCACATTTGGGAATTTAAGATTGTAGGCACCATCCCAAACTATTCCTGATGGAAGATGTGCCTAGTCACATAATAGTTACTGTGGGAGTCAAGAGAAGGGCAGGAAGAAATAGCAAGGTGGGAGGCTGGCAGGGAGAGGGAATAGCAAAAAGGGAGAGGGAAGTGAAACAACAAGAAAAAGGAGTAAGTAGAAGAGAGACGACAAGGCTAAGAGCCAGGCAGAGATAGAAGATAGGCTGGGAGTGAGGATGGTAGAGAGTGAGGAAAGCTGGGTTTGATTGAGAGAAATAGCAAGGCTAGAGGCTGGGAGTAGAGAGGGAGAGTGCACAAAGGGGAAAGGTCTGTATGAATGAAAGAGAACTGGATAGGGCCAGGAAGCAACTCTTCCCTTCTTTTCTTGTTCACTGTATAGCTGATCAGCTGCAGGTTCAGGTAAAGGAAGCAGAACCATTTTTACGTTTTAAAAAGATGCTGATGATGATGTGATGAATACATTTTTGAAGCAGGGAAGGGAGTGAAGGGCTTCATGGACATTGTTGGAGGCCTGTGTGGACACCATGTTGGGAGCCATGTACTTGAGCATGTAGCAATGTTCCAATAGATTGGGAAAAATTAATAATTTTAAAATATACACCTTAATGGCATACTTTTTCAGTGATGGTGTGAGTACAAAGGAAGGGGATTAGGGAAGCACAGCATTGATAACTGTGTTAACTTGACGGTTTGAGTTTTTCTCATTTGTTTGCATAACTACAGGCAGAATAGATGCGACTAAGCATAGTTAACAGTGTCTAGTACATTTGGTTACAGCAGCAGGATTATTATCTCTTCTTTGCTGCTTCTAGACAAAATGGTAGTGGTTTTCAGTGCGCATGGAGATTCTTGTTCAGCAGACTGGTGCATCGAGATGCTGCTGCCCATTCCATAGGACAAGTAAAGCCAGTCAATAACAGTTGCAGGAAACCCAAAACAAAAAAAGCAGCTACACAATTAGATGTGGCACTTTTATCAAGAAATTTAATGCTTCTAGGAAAAAGCTGTGTGTAATAAGTTTTCTGTTCCACCCAAGTAGAAGTGGTTTGCTTAGCATCTGAGCTGGACACCAAGTTTATGGAAGCAGAGTTAGTTCTATTTTCACTATTGTTGTAAATCCCCCTGAGGAAAGATCATCAAAATTGTGCTTGGTGCAAATCTAAATGGTAGAGTTTTATGTTTGTATGTTCACTGTGACACTGTTGGATGCTGGTGGTAAAAGTACAAGCTGTGTGTCAAGAAGTTCCGCTTAAAATTGCAGCTCAGCCTGGTAGTCACTAAAGGGCCTTGGCAACTCACTGACATCTGAACCCTCAAAGGTACTGGCAAGATACTGGCCTGCCTTGCACAGTTGTTACAATAGACATCTATGTGAAACTTACGAGCCTTTGGAATGTGCAGTATAAATGCTAAATATTATTATTGGCTTGATCTCATTTGCTAAGTGGGTGTACTTATTTTTTATCAGGTATTTTGAACAGTGTTCCTTTTACTAAAATAAAATAAATCCATAGATGTATATATTCTTATAGTGTTTTTTACTGAAGAATTGCAAAGTGCTTTGTAAATTATACATAATAAACCATCCTAGTATCTTCCCAGGGAAGTAAAGTCAATTTACAAACCCTTTGACTACATATCCTAACCAACAATTGAAAGTGAAACTGGGCATCTGTTCACAGATGTTGGCAACCTTGTTATACTGCATACAGTTAGATTCGATAAATCAGCACCTAATTGAAAATACGCATGTTGCCTAAGCAGAATATAATTACCCCAGCTGTAGATAGGGCAAAAACATACTATCTCCTTATACTTTATGGAAAGTGGTTTCATTATGTTTACAACATATTTAGTTGGATTTGCATGCAAAGTCTTTGTACATAAAGCAGCATTAGATAATTCTAGGCATGTTCAGACGTACAAGCAGCTTCACAGCACGCTGGACTACAATGCAACTCATCACCTGATCAGCGGCATGAGGGCCTAGATTTGTTTCCAGATGAAAACATTTAGCTAGCATACTTTTTTCACATTTTTTTAAAACAGGTGTCTGCCTGGCCTTTTTTTAATGCCTTAGGAATTAAAGGGACTTGGTAGGTGACAAAAATATTTTTATATGAACTGTATGGAATATTATGCAGCTGGCTGCAATGCAATATAGCATATAGTTCAGTATGATCTAAATGCCAGTATGCTATGCATTTTAATCTGTCTCCCTACTGGGACCAGACTACATAAAGAATGGGTAATACCCTCTGTAACCACATTTAGACCCACTGAAACCATGGTGGCCACAGATGAAGCCACTGCATGGAACTGACATCCTTTCCTAAGTAATGCTCCTATGTCCATTGGTCCTGGTCACAAGTGCTGGCAAGTCTAAACTCGCTATTATGCTCTAGAGCAGGAGTGCAGGGACTCTTTCCATCTGAGGGTCAAATTATATTTCACAGAAGTTTCAGGGGCCACATTCCAGTAGCATGGGGGGGGGGGCAGCAGGGGACAAAAGGGGCAGGGCAAACTACAAAAAAGGCCAGCATATTGTATCTTGTTCCTATAAGTCATAGGCGAGGCATTTCAACCTTTTAGAATGGGGAATGGGCAGGATGGAATTGTAGAAAAGCGGGGCAACTACTCAGTGATTAGAGGCTGGAGAAAGGGGGTGGGGCCAGTAGGAGGCACTGTGGCCTTCACGGGAACCCCAGGGAGTCAGAGAGTGTTGAGGTTTTGTACCCATGCTTTAAAGTAATGCCTGCTGCACTATATCATACAACTAGCAGATTAGCAAGCCTGAGACTTATGTTCAGCAAAAGAGAGTTTGGCTTTTGGTTAAATGGGACAAAGTATGAAGAGCAGTATATCTGCCTAAAAGGATTTTATAAGTGTAACTTTTTTACAGTTACTTAGTGGTGCTTTGTTGCTCAAATAATTATTCTTACTTCAGTTTTCACTGAAAAGTATGAGTAGCTAAAATAAGACATTAATCCATGATAGTACTACACGGTTAGTAAAGCAGTCAGACTTGGACTGCTCTCCTCTGTGTTTTAGAAAGAGATGACAGGTGGTTCATCCACTTTAATAATATAGACTCCTGTTAATTAAGGAGTAAAGTTTATACTGTAATTAATTTTCAGAATTTAATTAATATTTACAGGCAGATCTTCATAAATGTCATTCATATTACTCTAGCCTTTATTTCTGCAAAAATATAGAAGCAATTTGTATGCATCTCGTTCTATAGTTGTAGAGCTTCACACAACTGTTTTAAATTAGATTTTTGAAAAATTATAGCCATCTTATGAGTAAGATCATTTATTTTTATGCATCCTTTTAGACTGCTCTGGCACATCTGGAGTCTCTTGCAATCGATGTTGAGCAAGCTCATCCACCAGCTAGTAGAGAAAGCATAGACTGTCTCCCACAAATTATTATTACCGAAGATCACAATGGTAAGGGAAAACGATACATTTACTATTCTGGTCAAATATAATTAAAATAATATGAGAGTATTAGGATCTCCCAGCTTTTCAAATTGCATACTGATATGTACCTTGTTTTCCTAAGCTGTAGGTCAGGAGCAGTGCTGTGCGATCTGCTGCAGTGAGTACATCAAAGAAGAAACTGTAACGGAGCTTCCATGCCACCACTTCTTTCATAAGCCGTGCATAACGCTATGGTTACAGAAGGTGCATACTCGCATTGCAATTTAATACGTTACTTTGCGTGTGATCCAGTGTAGCTGCCCAGAACCCTCTGAGCTCAGAGGATTATGGACATCCAGTCTCACCTGGGAGGAGTGCAGAGGCAGGGAGAGTCCCTGTGCTTCTCCCACACTGCAGAAGACATCAATAGTCAGTTTCAGTCTTCAGTGTTTGGTTGCTCTTGCTTCCAAGAAGAAGGGGCTGAGGCAGTATCCAAAGGAGTCTCACCCCACCCCACCCCAAGCTTCAAAGTCAGTCACTTTGGAATTGCCACCAGCATGAAAAGAACCATAGGACAGAGAGGGGACACTTCAAATTCAGAGTCCCAGCTCCAACTGAACCCGAACAGGGTTGTAACTGGGACTCTGGCCAGCTAGAAAGTGTCCATGACTAGTGTTCAGCACCATTTAAAACTCAGGATTTTTCAAATGCATGTGAAATATTTACACAGCCAGCTTTGAAAGTAGCCTTGGGCTTCTTACCACATGCTTCATTTGTAAATTATGGAGATAGTGAATAAAAATGCAGTAGCAGTATTTTTCATGAATTTATTCTGGCTTTGATGTAGTCCAGTTTAAATGTTTAACTCCAGTTATGCACATGTGTTTATCTGATCTTGGTAGCAGTGCCAGGTTGATTCTCTTTTGAGTGATTCATTGGCTGGCAGTATACTTTGAGAAAAGTAGTCTTGCCTTTGTTGAATGGTGGTTTGGAGGATCATCTGAACTGAGTTATTCATGCTTGGATGATTATGAATGTCATCAAATCATAGAATAGTAGAATTGGAAGAGGCTGATTATTCCCTTAGGTCCAACCCCCTGCACAGTGCAGGGTGCCAAGTTAAGTCATTCCTAACAGGTGGCTGTACAGCTACATCTTGAATGCCTCCAGTGTGGGAGAGCCCACAGCCTCCCTAGGTTAGTGGTTCCATGGTCATATTGCTCTAACAGTGAGGATGTTATTCCTGATACTCAGGAATAATCTGGCCTTCTGTAACTTGGACCCATTATTCCATGCCCCATTGCTCTGGGAAAATGAAGACGAGTTCCTGGCCCTCCTCTCTCTGACAGCCTTTCAAGTACTTGAAAAGTGCTATAATTTCTCCCCTCAGTCTTCTTTTCTCAAGGCTAAAAATGCCCAGTTCTTTTACTCTTCTCACAGGGCTTTCTTTCCATTCCCCTGATCATGATCCTTGCCCTCCATTGAACTTTTTTCCTGTGTGTCTCCATCTTTTTAAAACTATGGCACCAGTACTGGAGCCAGTGCTCAACATGAGGCCTAGACAGTGTTAAGCAGAGCAAATGATTACTTCACATGATTTGGAAGCGATACTTCTATTAATGCAATGCACAGTACCATTCCTTTTTGCAGCTATATCACATTGTTGACTCGTATTCAGCTTGTGATCTACTTAGTTGCAAGTTCCTTCTTGCTTGTAGTATTGTGGAGCCAAGTATCCTCCATCTCATTACGATGCATTTGGTTTCTTAAGTGCAAGACTTGGTATTTGTCTGTATTAAATTTCATTCTGATATTTTCAACTCAGTACTCCAATCTATGGAGATCACTTTGAATTTTGTTAACAAAGGATACTATTATTGTTATTTGTTCAAATATACTTACATTTTAAAAAACGCAATTTGATGGATTATTTAATGATACACATTGTAGTGTGGCCTGTGTTGTCATGCTGTAATAATTTTTAACAGAAGTATTTTTGTTTGTGAATTACATTGGGAAGAATATGCTATTTTCTGCCCTCAAGTCTACAAAACTGTTATTTCAACAAGCAAAGAAATTGAGTTTAGTAGCAAAAATATGTACAAATGATTTCAACAAAAACAAGGATGTTCCCAGAGAAATTGAAGTCAGGATAACCTGGACAACATTCTATTGAATGTTCCACTTTGAAGGCATTTAGTCACTTCCCACACCATACTGAAATGCTGTTTAAAATCACTAGTTAATCTGAGTTCCTTGTTGGTTGGTTTGCAAGAAACCAATGTGGACAGTCATTTATGCTGTATATTGGAGCACTGTCATCTGTGTTGTTGTCCTTGCTTCAATATCACAACTAAATTTTGGTGCTAAGAAGTACCACTCTGCCACTGAAACACTTTCAAGCAATCTCTTTAGGACCACGTGCATCCTTCACGTTTCTTTCAGACCCAAGAGCAAATTTGTCCTACTGACATTTGAGCCCATATACAAATGACAATGGGCTCAAATGTTCCCCTTACTGGGATTCACTGTTTTTCTGCCACCCCTTCTTCCAACTTTCATTACCCCTTACCATCCCAGTTTTCCTTCATCTTCTTTCTCTCCCCAGTCTTTCTGCTACATAGTACTGTTTTCTCTTTTCCTACCTCCTTTTTGGGTTTTCTACTTCCCCACTGCGGCCACTTCCATCTCTAGGTTTCCTCTAAACAAATCCTGCTGCTGCCACCACCACTCATGCCATCTCTATCCACCCATGGCCATCCAGCATGGTCAGGCGGTCACTTTCCTTTTGCCCAGGTGCTGCTTCTGTTCTCCCTGCTGGCTGCTTGCTTCTGCTTCTCATCCTACTTGCTCAGTGTCATTTCTGTTGCCTCCTGTTCCTTCTCTCTGCGTTGTGCCTGATAGAGGAAAGCACAGCAGCAAGATAGGATTGGGAGTTAGGAGCAGGAGGCAGGGATTGAGAGGAAGGACTTGTTATTAGCCTGGCATTGCCTATTATCTGTCCATTAAGTAGCAGGGTGATTTCTAATGGAAATAAGTATCTGTGTCTGTGCTTCATGTAATCACTAGAACACACACCTAGAATGAAGTGGTAGAACTGGATGTTACCTGGAAACTATGAAGCCCAGTTCACCCTAACCTGCAATTTATTACTGCTTGAACAGCATACATTCCAGTAATTGACTCTTGTTACACATTCACACAAACCTTCCTGATTGGTGTAGCATCTGAAAGAACAGAAGTAAACTAGATGTGCTGTGCCAGAGCAATTCACCTGATCGAAGGAAAAAGCTCTGACCCAAAGGTGTATGTTTTCTCCAGTGACTATATGGAGGTCTTCCTTGCCACACCTGCACCAGAGTTGTATATTTTTGACAGCCCCACAACACTAGGCTAACAGTTCAGTAAAAAGAAAAAAAATACAGTTCATAATGAAGTAAATGCTGTAAGCACATGCTACACACAAAATAACACACACACATACACAGCATAGAAGATTTGGCACATTTCACAATGGTCCTGAAAAATCGTGTTATGGGGAAGCACAAGTTAGAGGGATTGTTCTGCTTTGCAGATTTTGATTATGTTATCCTCTGCCTGTGCCTTTGATCTTGACATTCAAGAGATCCTTGCTGTGCCAATAAGTAATAAGTTAACCTGGACCCATAGAGTCACTTTAGTCCTGTATACATTGGGACAAGTGGGGAGAGTGAGTGAACTGCTGCAAACAGATTGGCTTTCTGCAGTAGTACTTTTATTTACATTCCTGACATGTACATTGCTCCATTCAGTATGTTTTAAATATATACATATACATTTACCTTCTTTAAAATCCTTCATAATGTCATGATTCTGTATTCCAGTTTTAGGAACACGTTTTGTCATAGCATGTGATTAAGGTTGATGTTCTAGTATCTCCACCAAAGACGGTTTCCTATTTTCTTATGCAAGACACATCCCTCAGAAGTCGAGGCATCCACTTTGAAGTAGGCAACATGAGGATTGCGATCTGTGTTAACTTAATTGACTTCTTCGTTCACTTGTTCCCCTCCATGCTGTTCTTCCATCTAAATTTGTTTGAAGCTCTCCCTTTTGGCGTTCTTGAGTTATTCCCTTGCATTGCAACTAATCGGAGGTGTTTTCTCTCACTAGTCAGGAACGTGCCCTGTGTGCCGTCATGTGCTTGCGCCCGTGCTTCCAGAGGCAGCCACGCCTACAGTCACCTTCTTGCCTGATCACGATTCTGCTCCTTCGGTTCACAATACTTCAGGATCACAATAAAATGAACACCTGAAAAGAATTTGGCCCGTCAAATTTATTGTAAATTTCTCCTGTTTAATTACAATGTGAAATCGGTTTATATGTAAGTATATATAAATATAAATATTAAAACACTTTAAAGTATATATTAGTTTAGAAAGAGACTGTATGAGCTTTCCAAATGTATGAGCTTTACTGTATGAATTAGAATTATCAGAATGAAAGGTGTAAAAGATTGCACTAGTTTTCTGCAGTAAAACTTATCATTGTTAACTAATGTCTAATGCTTATAATAAGTTTGTCTGAACGATGATCATTAATGTGGCACTTAACATTCAATGCAACTGCAGTGCAGTTGGAGCTTACAAAAGTTATGCGTATAACCTGTTTTACATTATATAATATTTGAGGCTTGTGTTGTTCCTTTTTGTTTTAAAATAGTGCCACTTAATTCCTTTGTACATAGCTCTTTCATATTTGCATCAAATGTGAAGATGTTCGGTGATCACAGCAGTAGTATTCTTTGGTTTCACTGGAAATAAACAGCATAAAAGAAAAATTTCCTTGTCATTTCCTAATAACCTGTGTGTTATGTATAACTGCTACTGAGACTGCAATACATTGTTGGACTGCTTGACGTAGCGCAGAAGCCTATGCAATCTGTGCTCATTGTAACAACTTGGAGAATAGCAGCTAAACCACAGAAAGCTGATATGAACAAAATGGCTTGATTCAAGAGGAATCATTAGGTATCTGTCATTAGCGTGCTGGGTATTTGAATTTGCATGGACACGCTTTTGATGAGAATTGTGGGGTGTGTAGGCTGGTCGTAAAGATGTCATGCTGTATGTAAAGCTCCTGGGATTCAGTGGCTAGAACCTGGAAGTCCTGTCAGTCGGACACCTCTGAATTTACCTGCAGTGCAATGTCTCATCTGCTATCTCCATATTTTTAATGAAACTGCATGCTCTAGAGCATGGACAGGCAACATGGCGCTCTCCAAGCTGGCAAAATGGGCATCAAAATGACAGATGCAGTTCAGTGTAAGCAAGCGTAGAGTCATACCTGTTGGGGCAAAAACTCTGCCACAGAAGAATGATGATCCTGGTGGGGTGAAAATCTAACCAGATGGCTCAGATCAAAGGGTAATTTATAGCACCCAGGAATTCACATCTTTATTTTCTTGACCGCCTGGTTCAGGTCTTGGGGGAATGTGGTCAGCTTGGAGTATTATGTAATTGGTTGCTGCTGTTCTCTTTCCCTCACCTTTCCTATTTATGTGATTTTATCCTATTTTACTCCCACATCTTTTATTTCTCTGTCCACCCCTATATTTTACTACCTGAATAAGTGGATTTTATCCCCTAAGTTGTGCTTGAGTGAACCATGTGCTACCTTCTTTGCCTTGGCTAGTGAAGTGGACAATGAGTATTTAAGGCCCAGGGAAGCAGGGGATTCCCTTCAGTGTGATGTTACATTCTCACCTTCAGGCATAGGCTGATAGGATCTGACCTTTGACTGAGAGGGATCTTGGGGTGATGGTGAACAGCCTAACCCAGTGTAGCACATACTGTTAAAAAAAAAAAGGCAAACTCTGTGTTAGGCAAAATTAGCAAATAAATTAAAAATATCAAGATCATGCTTCCCTTATACAAATCTTTAGTGCAAATGTACTTTGAATTTTGTGTACCATTTATTTATTTATTTGCAACTCCCTTCTGAGGAACATTTATAACAATTGGAAGTGTTTTACTTGGAAAATGTGAGTAAGGGGAGATAAAAAGTGGTTAAATTATGCATGGCGTGGAGAAAGTGAAGAGGGAGATGTTTTTTTCCTCTCCCACAATATTACAACCCAAGATCATTCCATGAAGCTGATTGGCAGGACGTTCAGGAGAGATAAAAACAATTGTTTCTTTGCATAGTAGATGGTTAAACTAGGAAATTCATTGCCACAGGAACCAGTGGTGGCGATCAATTTGGATGGCTCTAAAGGGGGATTGAACAAATTCATGGAGGAGAAGACTATCTGTGGTTACTAATCTTGATTGGTATCTGCTAAATCCATTATCAAAGGTGTGTTTGTGTATACCAGATCTTGAGGAGATTGGGCAGGTGGAACTCCTGTACCCATCCTGCTTGAGAGAACCTGTGGATAGCTGGCTTGCCACCATGTGAAGTGCTAGACTCCATCTGAGCAAGGGTCTGACTTAGCCTTGTTTTTCCTGTGTTCTTTTCTTGTGTGGTACTTCAAACAAAAATTAACACGTTTTGTTTCTGGCAGGTAGAATTGCTGTAAAATTGGTATCTATTGATGCTCAAAACTGTAGGCTCAAAGGAGTTGTTTAGTGTATTAGGACTTGAAATGCAATATGTGCCTGTGGGCCGAAACAGAGCCATCACTTTATCCTCTTTTAACCATTGTAAAATGTAAATCAGAACAGGTGGTTCTGAAGGCTAGGGAGATTGTAACCAAGAAATAAAGAGTAAGTTGAAGGAAGGGCTTTGTTGTTTTACTGTATAAGGCCCTGAGAACTACATTTATTGTGGTACTCAGCTGTTACTCCATTCACTGGAACACAAACTAGATTGAGCCCTTACTGATGAAAAACCTTTTAGCAACTTTTCTTTAAAAAATTGAATAGTTCCAGAATTTATTTTTCACTTGTTCTGGATGAATAGATCTTCCAGCAAGAAGTTAGTAGGGAATCATAGGGGTGGGGAGAGAATAATTCAGTGCTTTACCCACAAGACCATCTATTCACAATTTTGTAGAACAGGCGTGAAATAACAGTTGGCTTCCATTTGAAAGTGGGGTGGGGCGAATTATTAAAACTCTTATAACATTCTTGCAGTACCACTCCTTCCCTCCCACTCCTACAACCCTCCTGCACTGCTTTTGCTGCAGTCTAGCCATTTTATCAAGAAAATGAAATTATGTTCTGAAGTTGCCTAGCAACAGAAAGGTGCTTTCATTCCTCCGCTCTAATGAGACCAGGTAAAAATACCTGGACTGAGACTTTGACAAGCAAGGCATCGTGTACCATGCTGGCAACTCAGATGAATACTCTCTAGCAGACAGTTGTTTCTTGATTATTTAAATCAATGAGGCATTTATCTCAGCTACCCTTATATGTATGCCTTTACCAGAGTCTCAGTTCAGTTTAAATCACAGATTTTAAATCAGAACTGGACAAGTATCTTTCTGTCCAGGAGTGCCTTCCCTCATGGGTAATCATGCAAAGGGTCAAAGTTACCACCTTTTCAATCTTTTCATGCAGGGGGTGCCAGGAGAGGGACTGATCACTCCTGCAAGGTGCTAGAACTGATTTAATGCAGGCAACTTTGGAAAATAGGCTGACAGCCATGAAATTGGGCCAGGGGTTGCAGGTTGTCCATTCTGCCTTAAGTCCATTTCCCCATTGTGAAAGTGATTCCCACAGTAAGCAGCCATGCTACACTGGAGACATATTGGTTTGCAACTACGTAGCCATTATGCCATCCAAGAGGATAGTCAAAAACCTTGCTTATACACCTCATGCAACTTCTGCACTGCCAAATTATGTTTACAAAGGTGCATTGTGTGTTTTTTAACACTTTATCTACTCCTGTAAGGGTACTAAGCAAGATCATTCACTTGAAAGCTGGCACTGAAATTCTACGCACGCTTAGTTGGAAGAAAGCTCTATAAGGCAACATGATAAGAGAGGAAATGGCCACTGTTCAATGTAATTATTTGAAATCTGAATGAAGTACATAGAGCAGAGGGCAGATAGTTGAAAGACATAAAACAAAAAGAAAAGATAAGGCTTGGTGGCAGACCTAGGCTAGATGGAAGATGTCATCACCCGGACCCTAGTGTCTGTGGGGAATTGCTAGTCCATGACTCTTGTAAGAAATAGCCCATAATAATTGCAATCCCACTTACTGGCTGGGTTCACACACCAGGACAAGCAACCCCGCGTGGTTACTACATATGGTTTGCAGCTTTTTATCTCAGTGTGCCTGACAGGCAATCAGATCCATGGGGGTAATTCTGCATCCTTCCATTTCCTTCCCTCTTGAGTCATCCAAGTGATAACTGCAGAAAGGAATGAGGTTTCCTTCTTTGACAGCTGCACTTTCAAGCTGTGTGCAATTTGCCACTGCTGCCAAGAAATTTCTGATGTGCCAACAGGCTCAAGCCCTGAAGTGCAGCCAAGAGAACAAGGAGCTGATCAGGCACCTTTGCCTCCTGCTACAGAGATGGTGAAATCTGTTGGGCAGCACTGTAGAAAGAAGCAACACCACTCACCTGATTTCCCCCTCTTGTCTCCTCACCCACAGCTGAGAGAACCTGCTGAGCAGCTGTGCCCAGTTGGGGGTTTCACCACCCAGCTGCTTCCCTCTGCCAACTCCCTTTGCGGGTGCTAGAGGAAGATCGGTACAAGAAGGAGGAGGAAGAATCAATTGAAGGGGTGGTACCAATACATAGCAGTGCTGCTCAGCTGATTTCCCTGCTGCCCCTCTCAGCATGCTTAAGGGAAGTCTTTCACCTGCTCCAGTGCGATGGGCAAAACTCAGCTGGGGGATGGTGCCAGTAGTGGCAGTGCAGCTCAGAGTGCTGCCCCCAACCCAAGCTCACCAAGCACCTTTCCTGCAAGCAGCAGCAACATGGGATGTCAGTGCTTGCCCGTCTTCTGGCTCCTGCTTGCCAGGGAAGCACCCCCAATCCAGCACACGCCCAAGAGCTTTTCCTGCAAGTGGTAGTGAAGGAGGGCAGGCAGCACTCACCCCCTTTCTTGCAAGAGAGGTACCCCCAACCCAGTGCCCACCAGAGTGCCTTTCCTGCAAGGTGTAGCAGTGAAGTGTCCTCTCCTCTTTCCCATTCTGCTTGCCAGAGCGGTGCCTGAAGTGGGAGCTGGCTTCAGGATGTCTCCCTGGGAAAGGGGAGCAAGACTGGGGAGCAGTGGGGGAATCAGCAGCACACCCCCAACTGCGCACTGCTGTCCAGCTGATTCTTCTTCCTCCCACTCATGCAAGGGGCTGGTCTGTGGCCCGTGAGGAGGGGACAGTGGGGGAATCCACCCACCAGCACAGCTCCTTTCCCATTGCCAAGCAGCAGATTGCCCACTTCTGCCCTAAAGAAGATCTTTGGGACGGGAGGCGGGCAGAGCAGGACAGCCATCAGTGGTGTTCTCTAACTAGCCACTCAGCAGGAATGGCAGCAAGCTGCTCTTGCCCACTGCCTCTCTAGTTCTGGCCTTGATGCTAACCTTGGTTGTCCTTTCTGGGCTCATCGTGGTTCTAAAGACTGAACGTCCCACACTGAAATACCACAACGGGCTTCAGATGACACAACAGACCAACAGCGGTACAAAACAACTGTGACTTGTGTCATGCAAACCCAGCCACTGTGTCATTTATGTCAGTTATTCCATCCTGGAGTTTGCCGTATGCATCATGTGCACAACTGCAAAGCAGGGAAGGAACAGTGGCAAGGGCTACAAAGAACCTGCAGCAACACCTCTAACATCATGTTAACAGGTGCACATCCTAACAGAACTAGTGGGCTGGCAA